TTTCAGAGATGCTCAGTGTGTCCATCAGGTCGTAACAGTCATCAGGAACTTGTGCAGTGGGAGCAAGCTGTTGCCTGTTTTCAGTTCTGTGACAATTAGCAGCGCAACAACCTCGTTACTTGTGTTAGCCATGATGGGGGCTGACATACAGGCTCAATAGAAACTCCCAAATGTACAAGGTACACAATGTGCACATACGTAAGAATGTGTGTAAAAAGAGAAATTACTTCTATAATATTCTTTCTCCTGACAAGGGTCACAAATTAAACTTGCCATTAGTATTGCTAGAGCAGTCTTCTATTCAGATCAGGCCCTATTTCTGCCAATCTGCTGGTTAAATTGCTGTTGCTACTGCTGAGTTGTCACTGACTTTCCTCTGAGCTTGGAAAGCACTGTTAGTTGGAAGGCATCAGGCAAAAGCCACCACTGTCTCACAACAGGATTCCTTTAATCTTTGGCATCCCCTCACATGGTTGCTTGCTGCTTAATGAGTTGCTCCTAAGCATACAGTTCAACAGAGTTGAAAGGAACTGAAAGCTCTCAATGCTTCAGCTGTTACTTTGGCAGATTTTTTCATCAGTTTACCACCCTTGACAATGTCCAAAACACATGCTGTTTTTCAGGTGCTATTGAGGCTAGTCTGAAAACGCAAACACTGTAAATGGATCCTGATTCCGTATTTCAGCCAACTGGGTACACCTTTTTTTCAAGAACTAGAATATAGAAGTTAAATCCATGTTAAAGTTTAATTTAGCTTTATAGAAAACATATACAAATGTCTGCAACATAAGTGGTATATGAAATGAATTTATGCTCAGTTTTTTCTCCACAAGCCCTTCTATTCCGGAGATGATGCAGTTAAATAGCTGAGGGAGCATTGTCTGTGGGACAGCATGCCTTCCATGTTAGAGAAAATGGAAAGCAGATAGTGATGCAAACAGGCCGAAGAAAGAAAAGATAGTCCCATAGTTTAAGCAGTTATGTCACTCTGGAGAAGTGGATTTAATTCCTTTGCTGCTATAAAGCTACAAGATGGTATTTATCAGTCACTCAGGATGGATGACCCACTCCTTATGCTCAGGAGCCGTTTTTCCTCCCAACCAGCTATTCATGGCTAGTAATTTAATTGAATCGAGTACACAAGCAGCTCTTCGTTACCTACACCAATAGATGCTTGTCACATACCGGGGTATTCTAGGTGCTAGAGGATATGTTAAGGAGTGCAGTGTAAAGCTACCCGAGTAGATTTACCCAGAGAGTTCACACCTCTTGCTGGCTGAAATCTGTCTGGTCTTGCTAGCGCTCAGGAGCAGCCCAAAAGTGCCCGCACTGATGAGCGGGCTATGGCTGTGTTTGCATGGCACTGCATCTAAGCTAACATACCCTGTGGACCCAAGCTGGCTCTGTATGGAATCAGCTGTGGTGCCTCTGAATGCACAGCATAGCTAATTTGCAACCCAGATAAACAGTCCGTAGATAACTGAATACTATTTCTAGTCCATGCTGAAGAGTTTGAATATCTGCTATGATACTCCTATATTCATGTCCATTTTCCTAGACCCCTTATTCCTTTCACTCTTCCACTACTTTGATTGTTATTTTCTACTTCCTTATATAAACTAACAATCAAGAGCTATTTGTTCAACTGTCATCTACTTTTCACACCTTCTTTCAGACAAATTTAACACTTTCAAAGTTCGGGGCTAGGTATCTCCCTCTTGCTCTGCAGAATTTCCTTAAGGCTTCAGGTTCTTTGAAATCTTCTTTGAAATTCAATCAAAACATTTTTCCTTTTACAAATAGGCAGGCAAAAGAACCTCAAAATATTAAGAGTTTTGCTTAAATAATAACAGTTGTGCTTGCCATTAAAGCTTTGTAGTAGAATTAACAGAAATGCAGTACAACTGAGGTCAGAGAACCCAAACATTTGGGGACTTTAGTTCTGTTTTTCAAGCTTTCAGACTAGTAACCATTTTCTTCTAAAAATATAAAAGTTGTATTTTTACCATCCACGTAGCTGGTACCAGCTGTCCAAGGAAAAACAAATCTCTCTTCAATCTTTGAAGCTGCAAAGAATGATCTATTTCAGGCAGAAAAAGTTTTTTTTCTTCATGTTAGGCAGATTTCCCAGCCTTTCAGTAGGTGAAATAATATCAGATTTGCTCATTATAAAATGGTGGCATAGTGTTATTCACAGCATTATTTTCAAATGCAAATGACAATGTCTGCTGCTGAAAAGTAGCTCCAGCTCCAAAATCATTTACTGCTTTCCCATCAACTAAAATACACATGCTTTTCAGTAAATCCAAATGTTTATGCGAGTTCTAGGCCTAGTTTAATGAGCTTGGGAAGGTGCCCAGTACATGGATACTAACATTCAGATCCTTGTTAATGATACAGCTCAGTTTTTCAGCAAATGTCAAGCCAATTCCATCTTCTTGCAGCCATGTCCACAGGAAAAACAAAATGAACAGCTTTTTGTTAGCCTACACCACCTCAGTTTTTCTGGCAGGATGGGCCTCAGATCTCACACTTACTGCCCTGCTCTGCCATGTCACTGAACGTGCTGTATGTTTACTATGTCCATTGCTTTTTGTGCATATTATTGAATGTACTCAACAAATAAATCCCTGCTCAATCCATAAAGAGGCAGGTGAGAGCAAGTTTCATGAATCTTTGCCATTTGTAGCCAATTATCAGCCACTCTGTTCTGGGGAGCATGCAGGGACCTAACTCTATATAGGTCACCAACAGCAAGTCCAGTGCAGCGGGGAAAGAATCCAGGCATCCTGCCAAAACAATAGCCAGGACCAGGCTTCCGCCACCAGAAAAAAATCACATGCTCCCTAGCCACTTCACTGGTAACAGCAAAGAAAAAAGGAACCAAGGGCCAGATAAATTGTTTTGGTGAGTTCATATGGTCCTGGGCTCTATGCTAAGCTCCTCAGTGGGGTAGAATGGCTCTGGCAAT